ATTTACAACTTCTTCCTCCACTTGGGTTAGACTTCAAATTTCAACAAATATTTTAAAAGTCAGCCAGTCTTTCGTAGAGGGCTGCAATTTCTTTTCAAAACAAATTCTTTACAAAAGTCTGGCACCTACTCTGCAAAATAAAAGCAGCTCCCGACACAAGAATCCATTAGCGTTCAGAGAGTGTGTCGTGTTGCTACATTTCAAAAGAAGTGCGTCTTGCTTCTTGAAAAATAACACTATTTAAAACGGGAGTTTGTCCATACGAATGGATTTGCCACCAAGCAGTGAGGTGGGGTGCAAAGAGCTTAATCAACAGCGATAAAAAAAAAAAATAATAATCTTCACCTCCCGCGGTAACGGTTCGATGCATAATAAAAACTGCTTGCAAGGTTTAACCATCATAATCTGAGTTAGGAGCGAATTTACATGAGAGATTTCCTTTCTCCTCTCTGTTTTATGGCGTTTCTCTGAGTGCCACATCAGCTGAATCGTCAGCGAAGTGTCTCGCAGCGGAAAGCTATCAATATATCAAAGAGAATAAAAGTTGGGAGCAGATGCGGCTCCTCTCTCCACGGAGGTAAAAGAGGATAATTTCATGACTGAAAAATTAAGTCTATAAATTTACAATAAAACGGCCCTCGAGCAGCTTGGAATGAATTCATGTGTGGAAGCGGCTGAGTGAAAGCTTGCTGATGCCCTCTCACTTAAACAAAACCCTTCAGGTTTTGGAATCAGTTTTCTCTTTCTGGCCCTCTCAGCCTCCCTGGTTTGTGCAGCTCTCCAGGGAGCTGTGGTTTCTGAAAGGTTCCTAGTTGTACTTAATCCCTCCATCTCTTTGTGTCCAGGCAAAAAATATATCCGCATGAAACTCGAGAGGCTGCAAGGGGCTCAGCGGTGAGAGAAAAAGACGAGCTTCTTTCAACCGTTTTATGGTCACGGATAAAATTTTTAAAAAGGGAGACAGAGCTAATAGAGTCCTACAGATTCAGCAGAATCAGGAAAGGTTTAAATTTACAAACAACAGACCTAAATGAAAAACAAAAGACAAATTATTCAAATGGTTTGCGTTCCAAGCATGTGATTTAAAATAAGATTTAATTTAGCAACATAAATACATGAAACTGACTATTGTGAAGGCAAAAAGCTGATGTTTGTGTCTGTTTGTTGCATGAGCAAAATAATCGGACGAACCACTGGATTTTAAAGAAAGTAATCAAAAAATAAACACCTGCAACTAATTAATGTTTAAAGCCAGTCTCATTCAAGATGGCTGCCACATGCCTGTGCGTGTATTTGCTTGTGTCAGCAAAATATCTTCTGAACGACAGGACTTGAATTACAAAGTTCCTTGAGAACCTTTGATGGGGACTGCCACGTTGCGCTACAGTTGAATTCGGGCCTAAAAAATCCGAACCGGCTCGTAGCCATTTTTTCCGAACCCAACCCGATCTGATCAAATAAACTGTAATTACAGGACCGAACCGTTAAAAAAAACAAAAAAACATTGTTTTTATTAAGCTTTTACTGCTTTTGTAAGCAAATCGGTTTGACGTTTTAAAAACATATTTCAAAGAAAGGAAGATATAAGATTTATTGTTTAACCAAATGGATATTAACACACAAAACAGATGGCCTAAAAACACAAACTGTAAAGATACACTATTATACAGATGAACAGAAATATTTTTAGAGTAAAAATATAGAACAAGGATGTTTCAATTGAACGCGCTGCTCGCGTCGGCTTTTGTAGATGCTGCTACTTCCTTCACCTCAGATGACAGCAGGTGTGGAGACGCGCGCAGCCGGTGATCAGCTGATCCATCCATCATCTTTACCCGCTTCTTCCTTTTCGGGTAGCGGGGGTCGCTGGTGCCAATGTCCAGCCATCACTGTGCGAAAGGTGGAGTACACCCTGGACAGGTCGCAAGTCCATTTCAACTGGCGGGTCAGCGGACGCGCGCGGCCGGTGATCAGTTTGTCCATCTGAGCTTAACGCAACTTTTTTTTAACCTCTTTTAAACCGGCCGGTCGGATCTGCCTCCTCAACAAGTAGATTAACCCCATTTTATATCGTGCATTCTTATTTAGTTTTCTTTGCGCTGTATGATCCGTAAAACCACATCATAGAAGTCTGAGCCCACGTGCGCAATTATTGCGCAATGCGCCAGCGATCTCTTCCACAATCTGATTAACTGCTTATAAAGGCAATGTTTTTGTATGACTGTTCGAGTGTTGTCGTTGTGTTAGAGAGTAAATGTCATGAATAAATTTGACATTAAACATAATCCAAGTTGAAGTGTTGCATCATTTTCAGCCCCTTTTTGGCATCTACATTTGGTAGCAGACCAAACTGACAAAGACCATGCAGATTAATATAGCATTTTAATTCCACAGCAGAGAAAGCTATGTAGTCTCTGGAAGAAGATGTAGGAAAAACATATTGGTATTGGCTATCGGCCAAATAAGTTAACTTATTGACATATCGGATATCAGCCTAAACTCCAATATTGTGCATCTGTTATTAACCTTTATTTACCCAGGCAAATCCCATGAGACCACAGAACTTTTGTGCGAGGGACGCCTGGGTTTTAAATATCTGGCTGCTCGTTTTAATGATCAAATAAAACAAAATGTCGACGACGTGCTGAAAAATACAAGAAAAAAATCAGTTTTGTCCATCATCACGTCTTTATTGGAGTGTAAACAAACTCTGAGAAGAGCTGTAGCCACGTTCTTGATTATTGGTTTTAACACGATTCATTTCCTTTGCAGTCACTGATAAAATATGATCACCCCACTGCAAAAAATAAAAAAAAATAATAAATATAAAGCTCTTCAACAAAAACTCTCAAACCGCAACTTCTGCTTGTTCCTTCACATGCACGGACTGTAACTGGAGAAAGGCAGATTACTGTTGTTTTATATTAAAAGTAACGATGAGAAAATCCTCAACAAAAAAAAAAGAGATTTGTTGAAGTCTTTTTTTTTTTTTTTTGCAGTGTGTTGAATAAATAACATGATACTTCCATATGAATGTTTGACCTCAGTTCAGCAGAGTAACTTCATCTCAAACTTAGTTTATGCCGTTTTTTACTCTTTAAGGTGCCGGGCGTGTGTTTAGCACTTGGAAATGCAACGGTTGTAGCATGTGTGTGTGTTTGTGTCAGGTTTGGACACGACCCGGTGTCCAGAGGCTCATTAGGTTAGTAGTTAATCAAACTATTAAATAGCAGAAGGAGAGTTACAAAAAGAACCCTCTTAAAACAAACAGAGAACGTACAATCACAGCAGTAGTGTTAAACTGTAACAGAATTTGTCACTTTTACAAATATATTTACAATCAAACAAAAACACCGTCCATAAATCAAAACAAAAATATATATTATCACAATCTGAACCACAGACAAAATAAGGAGAATGTTTCTAGTGTTTGTGTTGATATGAGGCTGCAGCTGGAACCAACACGTGCTCAGCCTCCAACTTCAGGAACAGACTTATTTAACAACAAAAAAAAGATTAAAAATAAAATGAATACAAACAAAATTAAATGGTGCAGTTGTAGCTAAAAATCCAGAATTTGATTCTGATTTTTATGCATATTTCAGGAGCGCTACAAGCAGCAATAAATCTAAAGAAACTGGCCAAAAGCTTCACATATGATCAGGGTTTGTGGTTTTAAAGAGTTTGAGGTGGCGTCTCACTGGGCTGCGACAAGTTCACGTCCTCTCCAGAAGGAGCAGTCCTGTCGCCTGACATTTGAACTTTTAAAAACTTTTACATGAATTTGTTTGTTTCAGTTGTTTCCCAACAGTTTCAGGTGGATGCCGTCGTCCGCACAGGTTTCTCCGACAGGAAAAGGCAAACGTCCAGGAGTTGGTCCGTTACGTGGGACTCAAAACGTCCACGTGCTTTTTGTCACTTCCAGTTTGGTTTACATCGAGTGCAGAGCCGCATTTCAGAATTACATTCCACCTGCATCGTTTGATTTTTATTTGTTTGATTTCATAGTTTGCGATGCGGACCTTTAAATCAGAAACGCTCAAAGTTGTGAGTACGAAGGCAGCCGAGGCTGCTGTGATGTGTGGGGAGGTGCACGGCCAGGAAGGCAGGTTTCCAAGACGTACGCACAAGTTGATATTCAAAAACGGCTCGCTGCTCGCAAAGTGAGACCTCAACCGAACTTTGTTTTAGTCTCCGACCATCGCAGCTCAGAGAGACCCCTCCTTTAACTTTACTGACCTTTGATTTTGTCGTTTCCGCGGTGAAACTAATGCACAAGAATTCTGCATAAAGTAATATTTTAGGAACAGGAAGAGCTTTTTGTGGTTTGCAGTCAACAATAAGTTGATGAAAGGAAGATGAAATGATTAAAAACAACAACAACTGTAAAACTGGTGGCCGCACTTTGTGTCCAAGAAAAGAAGCTAAAGGCTTCAGTTTTAGCGGACCACAACAAAAATACCTTTCAAGTTCACGTCCCTTCTTCCATCGGCGAGACATGGACAAGCACGAGAAGAAAGTCTTTGAAGAGGGAGGCTGGGCTGCCGGCGACGGAGCGGCGACGGAGCGGCTGCAGCTCTGTTAGAGCGTCGCTCCTTTGTTGGGCGACGGTACGCATTCATGTGGGTGCGAGTGTAAGTATGAACGTCTGGGTGCCGAATCATTCCATCACACCTTCTTTGAAGGCTCTGGATCAAAGTCAGTCCCAGGGGAATAAATCAGCATAAACATTAAGTTAAGGGGAATCATAGTCTACCTCAGCAAACCACTAAATGTCAATTTTCAGTCAATTTTCAAAAACTTCTTGATATTTTCATTAAGAATAAAAGAGGCTGAGTTAACTCCAGCTACTCATCTGCCTTTTGTTACTTAGCATAAAAATGTTAAATACTTAACCGCTCGGTTTATGTTAAATCTGGACTGGAGTGAAACGCTCCACATGAAACAAACAAACAAAAGGTGCGAGATGCACGTCGAAGACTGAACTTAAGTTTCTGGTTTCGACGCTGAATAAATGCAGCAGAGCAGAATGCAAGAGCAGGAGTAAGGAGGGAGAGATAAAATGTTAAAATGAACCTCACACTGGCCACAAGGTTAGAGCAGATCATCAGTACGTCAGGCTGGAAGTGACTTCATAATTACCGGCAGATGTGAAGCAGCTGCAGCTGCCACCATCGGCTTTTAGAAACGTGTTTCACTAAACGGGAACGAACGGGAGGAGGAGAACCTCGTCTCTCTGGGGTTGGGTTTAAATATAGATTCTGTGTTTTTAAAGCCTTTGTTCCTCCTGCCTGGTGGGTCGGGAAGCGGTGGACAGCCGGGCGGGGGCCTCTATGTGAAGCTCTGGAGCGGCTGGCTGACCCTCATGCACACCCAGTAGAAGGCCCGGGCCAAGGTGACGAGAACCAGAAGCAGCATTACGGCCCACGAGGCGTAGATCCCCTGGTAGGTCTGAGCCTTCACCCACGTTCCAGCCTAAGAAGAAGAAGATTTTGATTTTAACAAAACTTTATTTACACAATAAGTTAACAAGAAGAACAAGAACAAGAAAAACAATAATAAAAAAAACAAGAAGAGGAAGAACAAGAAGATGAAGAAGAACAAGTAGAACAATAAAAACTAGAAGAACAAAAAGAGGAAGAACAAGAAGAAGACCAAGAACAAGAAAAACAAGAGGAAGAGGAAGAGCAAGAAGATCAATGAAAACAAGAAGAACTAGAAGAAGAACAACAATAAAAATAAGAAGAACAAGAAGAGAAAGAAGAAGAAGAATTCTGGTCATGAAAGTGAATTAGAAAGGTACAACGAGCTAGCTCAAGTCCAGTCAGGCTCAACGTAAGGCACCAAGGAGCTTAAAACATAAATATATTTTCAGATGTTTTCTACGTCTCTAAGTTACTCCAGCCAAACATCCAGGAACATCCGTTGTAGAGTGAAGCTGCACGTTACTTCAAAGGTTTATCTTCAGCAACATCAACACTGCAAAAACTGCAACAAATCGCTCAGTGCCATGCATTCTTGTTGTGCACGCTGATAAAACATTTAGGTCAAAATAATGAGCTCGCACCGCCGTTTATGTCCACAGCTCGTTTAGATGACAGCAATGACTGAAGAGAAAGTGAGGAAGAAGTGCGTTTATCTCAACCGACATCATCATCATCATCATCGTTTGTCTAACACCGAGCAGCCCTGCTGCACAGTGTAAAGTATAATTTGACCATTCTTAGATTTTGATTATCTAACTTCCAACAGCGCAAGATCAAACGTTTTAATATTTCACTAAAAGATTTCCTTCCCATTTTTTTATTGTGCAATTTCATACTATTCCAGACTCAAATTTACTGTCAAGATTTGGAGCATAATGACACCCAAACACCTGCAAATGTGTAATTGTGATATGTCTATGCTTATTAGGGCTGTAATGATACATGTGTTCATAGTGAAGCATCACGGTGCAGACGTCTTAGACAGTTACAGACACCGGATGATGATTACGTTTGTCGCAGCCAATCAAAGAACTCTCATCCTGAGAGGAGCGCTCACACTTAAAAAAAAAAAAAAAAAGAACAGTTTTTGACGATTTCCACAACAGAAAAGGAGTGAAGGATCTACTGTAGATCACTGCTGTACTTCATTTCACGTGTGCTGCGTGCACCGTGGGGGTAAGGCCCAGAGCCCAGCGTGCACACAGACTGCGCCCGAGTTCATCGCTGGTTCTATAAATAATTTGAGAAAAGCCTTGGAATCACGTTCATCAACGAGGAGGAGAAGAACAAGCATGAGAGTTTGTTCAGGGCATCCTCCATGTTTATCCCGCGGTGTTTAGGAAGGGAGCTGCAGCGAGGCTCAAAAATAAAAATAACTAAATTATTGAGTGATTACAGCAACACACGTGTACAGGAAACGTACAGTGAAAATCCTCCAGGCTTTTCTGAAAAGAATAACAAAACTTTCTACGCTTGCTGCTTTTCTCCATCTCGTCCGTCTAAACTTCCTGCCTGACCGTTCTCTTGAATGGTTTTGTTTGTTCAGACACTAAACTTATCAATTATTCAAACATTAAAGGCAAAAACAAACAAATCTAACCTCTCTTTAATCACTACTCTCACTCTGCACCTCATAACGATGCATCATTCACTCCTGTGTCTTGGGTTGAAATTATAAAAAAGGCTAAAGATTACACAGTTTCATAAAGATAAGTGTTTTTTTACAACAACAAACTGAAAAGCCAACAGCAGAAAACGAGTCATTTCACAGATGGGTGTGTAGTTTTCCCTTAAACACGTTCAGAAAACAAGAGGAGCACAAAAGAAAAGCAGCGGACGAATCGAACCTGAAAGCGGTGACTTTTAGAAACATACAGGCGCAGGCCATAAAATTATAACATCATGAAAAAGTTGATTTATGTCAGTAATTCCAGTCAAAAAGTGAAACTTGTAGATCATATTCATTTATTACACACAGACTGATATATTTCAAATGTTTATTTATTTTAATGTTAACTGACAACTAATGAAAACCCCAAATTCAGTGTCTCAGAAAATCAGAATATTGTGAAAAGGTTCAGTATTGAAGACACCTGGCGCCACACTCTGATCAGCTAATTAACTCAAAACACCTGCAAAGGTCTTTAAATGGTCTCAGTCCAGTTCTGTAGGTTACACAATCATGGGGAAGACTGCAGACTTGACAGTTGTTCAAAAGACGATCAGTGACACCTTGCACAAGGAGAGCAAGACACAAAAGGTCATTGCTAAAGAGGCTGGCTGTTCACAGAGCTCTGTGTCCAAGCACATTAATAGAAAGGTGAAGGGAAGGAAAAGATGTGGTAGAAAATAGTGAAGCAATAACCACACCCTGGAGAGGATTGTGAAACAAAACCCATTCCAAAATATGGGGGAGATTCACAAAGAGTGGACTGCAGCTGGAGTCAGTGCTTCAAGAACCACCACGCATAGATGTATGCAAGACATGGGTTTCAGCTGCCGCATTCCTTGTGTCAAGCCACTCTTGAACAAGAGACCACATCAGAAGCGTCTCGCCTGGGACTGCTGCTGAGTGGTCCAAAGTTCTATTCTCTGATGAAAGTAAATTTTGCATTTCCTTTGGAAATCAAGTCCCCAGAGTCTGGAGGAAGAGAGGAGAGGCACAGAATCCACGTTGCTTGAGGTCCAGTGTCAAGTTTCCACAGTCAGTGATGGTTTGGGGTGTCATGTCATCTGCTGGTGTTGGTCCACTGTATTTTCAGAGGTCCAAGGTCAACACAACCGTCTACCGGGAAATTTTAGAGCACTTCCTGCTGCTGACCAACTTTGTGGAGATGCAGATTTCATTTTCCCACAGGACTTGGCACCTGCACACAGTGCCAAAGCTACCAGTACCTGGTTTAAGGACCATGGTATCCCTGTTCTTAATTGTTCAGCAAACTCGCCTGTTAACCCCATAGAAAATCTTTGTGGTGTTGTGAAGAGGAAGATGTGACACACCAGAGCCAACAATTCAGAAGAGCTGAAGGCCACGATCAGAGCAACCTGGGCTCTCAGAACACCTGAGCAGTGATCGACACCATGTCACGACACATTGCTGCAGTAATCCAGGCAAAAGGAGCAACAACTAAGTACTGAATGATGTACATGCTCATACTTTTCATGTTCATACTTTTCAGATGTCCAACATTTCTAAAAATCCTGTTTTTATTGGTTTTAAGTAACATTCTAATTTTCTGACATACTGAATTTGGGGTTTTCATTAGTTGTCAGTTATAATCAACACAAAAAGAAATAAACATTTGAAATATATCAGTCTGTGTGTAATGAATGAATATAATATACAAGTTTCACTTTTTGAACTGAAATAAATCAACCCATCATCTAAAGAAAACCCTTTTTAAAAAGACAACTTTCAAAAAGTTTGGTTGTTTGGGAACAAAAACAAAGAAACGAGGGACGACTCAAGATTACTGCAGAACTGCAGAACGTCCAGCACCAAAGAATTCACGTCAAGTGTTTTGTGTGCAGCTGCTCAGTGACAAAATATTTAATTAACAGAAAATTGTCCTTTAACCAAACCCAGAGAGAATTTCTCCGACTGGAAATATAAAATTTCATTAAGAATTAACAACACTGGAGCAAAACTAATATCAAAACTAATTTAAAAAGGATCCGTTTCTCAAGAGTGTTGAAAACCTCCTGCAAAAAAAAACAATATTTCCTTCTGCTCATATCAGCATTTTATGTAGACTATTATCATTACATGTGCAGATCCATGATGAGACCAAAAGGTCATAAGATTTTAGAAGCAGAGCAGCAAAAACTACACGCTGGTCCAAAACTTTAAATAATACAAATAACATCACCGGCTCAAATGCCCGTCACTGACCAGCTCTTGGACACAATCATTTTATAAAACCTTTTTTTTTTTTTAAATGCCTGTTCACCAACATCATGCAACACTTACAACATGGCCTGTAAATATGTGCACTTTGCAGAGGCTCCTGCAGCTGCAACATTTAGTGCTCATCTTGTGCCCTCTGCTGCTCATGGAGAAGAACACGACGACAGTCTGACGTGGTTCTGCAGAGTTCTGCGCTCCACATTTCTCCAGACTCTTCATGAAAATTACAACTTCCCGTTGTGTTGTTCTGCCGGTGACCGCTAAAAGTAGAGTCCCACTAGGCAGGAAAACTGGCAAATGCTCTGAGCCGCACTGAATTTGGAGTATTTGACACCAAGTGACCAGCGAGGCTGTGTTTTGACGGCCCAAATTTAGAAACTCTCAGCCTGTTTTCACGTGCACAGCTCGCAAAACTGCATTCTTGGCACATTAACTTGTATCTGCAATAACCATTCTTCACCAAACCAAATGATAATATTTACCTATGGTATGCAAAGTGTTTTACTCTACGCACAAACTGTTGATATTGTTGATGAAGGAAAATTTCCACCTTGGTGGACAATAAAGTTTTATTTTATCTCGTCTGCTTGTTTCTGGCAGCAGCCACCCTGTAAGCCGTACACTTTTAGAACTGAAGATAGGCAGGACCAGTTTTTAATTAATTATTATTTATCATTGGTGTCTTTTAGACACGGACGTTCAGGGTTGTAGTGTTGAATGTTTAAGCAGAGGTTGACCAGAAGGCGTTACAGTTAAACAACAGTTCAGAGAGTTGAGAGATGTTTTGGTCACATGCATGAAGGCGTTGATTGGAGTGGACCTGGCTGGGAATCGGGTCTAATGCTGCATTGTAAGTTTTTGAAAGTTACAATCTGAGACCTCCTCTTTTGTTTAAAGTTGTTTCGTCTCATTTGGCGTAAATGTCTTCAATCACCCCCTCTCAAAGATTTGAAACAAGTCAATAAGTAAAAGACTAAATGAAAACAAGAACAAAAAGGACAATGAACTGTACAAAAGCAGAGTAAAAGAAAGTACGATTATTAAAATCTTGTGTTTGTTTACGTCAAAAGCTAAAGTAGAAAGGTGGGTTTTAATCAGGGATTTAAGTCTCTACACTCCGAACTGTGCAGATGTTGGAGGGGAGACTCCGTGGCTGCTGAGCAGGTGACAACACATCTCCAGAATTTACAGAAAGTAAACGGAGACAGGTAGATTATGGATCTTATAATCCGATGTGCCTTATAGTCTGAAAACTACAGTAGCCTTGTCGCATCAGACCAATGAAATTACTGAACAGGTCACAGTGGACCAATGAAATAATCAAATTATGCAACAAAGTATCTGCAGCCACTCGACTTCAGTGTGAATCGTGCATTTAAAGTGGCACTCCGAGTTGAGTGGGAGGTTTGGATGACTGGTGGCGAAAAATCGTTTACCAAAACTGGCCGCACGCAAAGTGCAACTTTTGCACAACTCTGCCAGCGGATCCCGACAGCGGAGCGGTGTCAAAAAAAAATCCTCCATCTCCAACGGGTTTCGAAAGGCTGGACTGCTGCGTTGATGAAGAGGACACAAGCTCAAGGGCGAATTTGTCTCGAGACGAACGCGACGTTAAGAGCGACAGCGAAAGAGACCGAGGACGAGTGTGACGAAGTAAATCTGAGGCTGTTCAATGCTGACACTGAAGAAGACGACTTTAGTGGTTTTAGTGCACAGGAGGAAGACGAAGTTAGTCATCAGTGACTTTTCCCGGTACGCTACTGTGTGTGGTTTTTTTTTTTAACTAGCCGTGTTACAGACATTATTGGAAAAAAGCATTTACAGTAAGTATTTAATTAAAAGTAAAAAATATGTATATATATTTATGTGTAAATATCTCATGTTACAACATGGACAACTGCCACTTATAGACAAGTGTGGTCTATATATGTAAAAAAAAAATTAAGTTAGTGGGTGTGGTTTATAGGGCTTTAACGGACTACTCGAGTAACCGACACATCTATTCCTAGGACATCTATTGAGTTTTTAAATTTCACGTCGAGTATTCGTGGTGACGTCATTACGGCGCTGTTACGTCATCGCGTCACGTGATCCGCACCGGGCGCGGGTTACAAAATGGATTCCTCCAAGCAGACGGATGGAGCGGAGCAGGCCCAGTCTTAGCAAACCGGTAGAAATGCATCAGTAGTCTGGAAATATTTCGCTAAAGATGAATCTTCCGGTTCAACTACCGTAAGGAAACAGAAAATGAATCAACTTCCTGACTGTTTGGAGCTCCTTGCGAACCGGTGTTACACCATATTCTGTAACCACCGTATATTGTGACCGTAGGGGGCGGTGTTGCATGCACTGTTGCAGGTCACAGAATATGGTGCAACACCGGGTCCAATCGACCGAATCAGAACCAGTTTCCTTCTGACCTTGTTTCACAAACAAAAAGCAAAAAATATGAATCTCTAAACCTATAAAAATAAAAATCTATAAACATATTAACCTCTAAAACTAATGCGCAGCACAGCTGGCGGTGGTGCGGGGTGGTCGTCCGCCCCACTGTTTTTAGTTTTGTTTTTGACGTGCTGCATGTTTCTTTTACTTTTGCATCTTAATAATAATTAATAGTTTATTTTTTTCCTGTGACTTATTTGCTGTATGATAAATGGTAGGAGCATAATATACGCTCCCAATGTTTTGTTGGCCTTTTTTTGTAAATAATGACCTTTTGTGCGGTTTTATTTATTTTTGTATCTTTAGATCCTATGATGTCATCAAATACTCGAGTTCAACTCGAGTTTTGTTATGTTAATGTCGAGTTTAAAAATTATGTATTCGTTCAACCCCTAGTGGTTTACATTCACGTGCGCTCAATAGTCCGGAAATTACGGTAAGGTAAATTATAGACGTCAATAATTTTAGATGACACGTAATTTCTGTGAATTCCTCTTTTCTTCAGCGTCTCGACAGAAACGTGATCTTCAGTTCATGTACGTGCCAGCTTGTTGCCCGGCGGTGTCCACTCACCATCAGCCCAGCAGTGGAAACGCTGAATAGCAAGCAGAGTAGAAAACACCACAAGCTCCGCCTCCGGGGATACCTCTGACCAATCGAGGAGCTGCAGAGGAGACGAGTGGAAGAAACTGTTTAATCAGACATTTGAACAGCACAACAGCTCCAGATGTTTCAACACCAGACGTTTGTGAAAGCAGATACAGCCCAGCTGTTGTCATTAACAAAGGCGTTGTTAGAGCCGGCATGTATTCGCCATCATCATGAAAGTGGAGCAGCAGAAAGGAAATCTTATCGTGTACACCGTCCATTATATGTCCAATTATCTAGAATTGAAACAGAAATGAAAAACAAGGGTGGGAGATGTTTTCTCCTCCTCATAAGCAAAGAAGTCAAATGTTCCCGAACCTGCAGAGCTGCAACAAAACATTATGGATGGTGATGTTTCAGCTTCAGTAAAAGCTACAGAGAAGCTTTTGATCCAAAAAAGTGTTTTCTGACTAAAACTGTTGATAATTCTGCACTAATACACCTGAGCTTTGTTCTCACTCCTGACAATAAAAGAGTTGTTTTAACTATTCAACAGCTTTGGAAACCATACCATAATTTTATTTAAAAACGCTATAAGTATTGGTAGTTTTACTGCTTAATTAAGAAAAAACATTGAACAATTAATTGATAAAAACTGTGAATTTTATGACGTCTTGAATTCTTCAAGTCAAGGACTTCACAAATAAAGTTTCATCAACTTGCTTGTATAGCAGCTCTTTTTATTAAAAACAGTTTGTTCTTTTTTAACCCTGAATTTTCTATTTGATTGTCCTTTTCACGGAGTTTCTATTTCCAGAAAACAAAGTTAAACTCTCTTTGCTTTGTAGCAAAATGCATTTTACAGTTGTACAAAGTGTCCCCCCCAAAGTGACCACCTAATAATTGTGTTTTTATGAGTCTGTGAGTTAAGGCTCGAGTTAATACCAAATGTTTTAAAGGCAACACTGAACGCCATAAAATATCATTTCCTTTTAGCTACTTACACTTTCCTGCAGTGTGGGCACCTGGCCAGCGTCCGGTCCGTGAACTCTGTCCACTGAAATCACAAACAGAAACATTTGAGCCAAAAAAATAATAATAATAATAATAATAATGAAAGTGGCAAACTTGCCAAGTTATCAGTTACGGTGCTAAAGTTTTATCAGTTGCAGCTACTATACTCCATAATTAAATTTCACTTGTACAGTAGTCCCTCACTACTTCGCAGTTCGACTTTCGCTGACTCGTTCCATCACGGTTTGTGAAAGTACAGTCCATAATATAGTACAAAAATAAATAAAGTTGTACAGGACACATGATCGTCAACTTTAATATTAGTCACGTGATTGGGACAGTACTGGATACAGTACTGCACAGTAAATAGTTAATGACAAATAAAATACTTCAGACAGGCGCCACCGTTTTGTAGTTTTCTCTCAGTAAGCCTCTACTATATTCCCGCTCATAACGACCACATTTCCCAGAAGCCAACAGGGTCCCACCCAGAAGCCCCATTTCCTTCTGCTGAAAGACTAGAGAGAAAGTTTGATCTGATCGGAAAAAGTTTGGCGCTTATTATAGGGACTTCGGTGCCCAACGGATGCACATGAACTGGTTGTTTATGTGGAAAAGCTTTACAGGGTTAATGACTTTCCATTTTTCAATGGGTTTGTCCTGCTTAAGAGTGTGAAGGAGATTTAAAGGACACAAAACAATGCCAGTTACTTTCCATGAAACTAAACAAAGCCGTGAAACAGATTAGCAGTTTAAAGGCTAATAAGCGTCTATATTTTCACCGAAAAGAAAAAAGTACAAGGATTGAATTTGTGGTCTTGCTGTGGAAATCATAAGGTTCAGGTTGAAAAGGGTAAAACAACCGTTCAGTTCTTGGCAGCTGGTGCTGTCAGCGACATAAAAAGAACTGAAAGAAAGATGGTCCCAGATACGCGTCGTCTGTCTGGGTGCAAACTCCGAGGAGAGATCGAGCTCCAAAAGCAGCTCCGAGGATATCACCGCTGCATCTTTGACAACAAATTAACTGGCAACGCCACCCGAGGCACAGATTTGCATTTTCATTCAGCGATTCGATCTTTTAAACGGTCTGGAAAAGTCCAGCTGGGTGTTGAACCCCCTGCAGCATCAATCAAACTTCTTTCTGGAGAACCTCCATTTTGTTTCCTTCACAGACTTTTACCAACCTCCTCTCTTTCATCATATTTCTAAACCATCTTCTCCCAACTCGACAATTGTTAAAAGGGCAGTGAGAGAAAATAAAGTTTTTTCCCCTCTAGCACAAAGAAGCTGTAATATATCAGCAGAGTGTTGATAGAGTTATTGATCTGCAGCAATAACTCAACATTTTCTTGTCCTGAAGCTTGGATGTTTTGAGCTTTTCAATAATTGGCTGGTTGCAGTATGTTTACAATATTTAAAGACCTGGCAGAGCTACTAAAACTGTCACAGGACACTTTGGAAATTCAAAACTACTTTCTCTTTAAAGCATTTTTATTAAACTGTTGCAAAACGCATACAAATGTTAGGTAATTAAAATACTCTGCAAGGATTTTAGTTCTTCGTCTCACCTCTTGCACGTAAATTTAGCTCTTTTTTTTAAAGTTATTCAAGCAAAAACACATTAAAAAATGTGTCTGGCTCTGTTTGCTGAACGGTGGCACTGAAATATGACTAAAACTGAAAAGGTTATCTTTACAAAACACCTCTAGTTCAGACAGACAAGATTTTTATGCTTTTTCCTTTTTAGTTTTATGTCTAATAGTAAGAGAAGTTATACAGAAGCTCCTCGTTAGAAAATACCAAGACAGCCTTTGTGTAAAAACCAGCTGTGCTGATTGTTATAATCATTTTTGTGCAAGAGTTCTGCATGTGACATGCAGTCTAGTGATGACAGAAATGTGCGTCAAGTTTAGTTTAATTATCTTGAGAGGATAAGAAGTTATGGCCCAGACTTTGTGCAACATTTGACCTTGATTGTGACCTTGACCTTGGAGCTGGGGTGGTGAAAAGCAATGTTTCCCCAACCATTATACAAGCAGGCCGCCCCGCCCTGTTAACTGAACCAATAGCCCTGCCAACCAACCCCCCCCCCCCCCCATACTGACAACTGTCGGAACTGACGTTGTGCTAAGCTAGCTGCGCGCAATACAGACGTGCTAGCTAAAAAGCTATGACTATGGAGGTAGCGCTCCATCTCCCTCACGATGAGCCATCTACAACCTCACCCCCCTGCTCGAAAACTATCAGAACAAACGGGTTGATCGCTGTGCTGCCATTTTTTATTGGCAACTTGGGAGGGGGGGTACAGTGGCGATCGGTTCTTGACCGTTCGTCTGTGTGGCCTGCATCACTATTTTTCCTCTGCTGACGTGACAGAGTTATTGCATCTGGTGGTTTTTCCATTTTTTTTAATGGTGTTTAAGGAGCTTTGCTAATTTTTTTTTTAGTGTAACATTGCCTTGTATAACGTAAAGTAGCAAAAGTTCCTAACGATAGACATGGGGTGGGGGAGGAGCCTGATACGTCAGTGGCCGCCCCGCGCTACGTCTTTACCGACAGTTGTCGACGGGGTGGAGCGGTACGTCAGTAACCTTTCTGCTAGTGCGTTTGCATGTTTGTATTGCGCCCCACGCTACATCAATACAGACAGTTGTCGACCGGGGGGAGGAGGAGGAAGTTCGATAGAAACGGTAGGCAGGGCGCTCAGTTCTGTTGACGGGGCGCCCTGCTTGTATAATGGTAGGGGAAACACTGGAAGATATGAGCGCCCTGCCAAGGCAAATAAACTAGTGGAAAGACTGAAAAGTGTATGACACTCGGTCTAATGAGGATGTGCGAATTAGAGATGCACTGATCCGATACCAATATCGGTATTGGTACTGATATTGTACAAACTTCTGGATCGGATATCGGTGACAATGTGACCGATCCATGACTGGGCAGATCTATTCACTCTAACTCTATGTTTTGTGCTCTGAATCACGTCAAGTGCTAGCGTACTGACTGAACAAATTGAAGTTGTGTTGTTTTTACACGTTTGACCGAGCTTGTGACGCTCTTGGTGTGTTTAAGTGTGCTGTTACGGTGCAGAGTTTTCAGTAAATTTGTAATTCAGTACATTACGTTTAACAAAACAAATGTTTTAAGTTGATTCAGCACTGGATTTGTAATCTCAAACATCCAGGTAGACAACAAAAATGGCTAAATCATGTCATCTGGACCTGTTTCTGAAGCGGGTCCAGATTACATGATTTAGCCGTTTTTGTTAATTCAGCACTGTTTTTCTGTATTAGATCAGCATCGACCGATACTAAACAGCAGGTATCGGATCAGAAGTAAAAACGGTGGATCGTGCATCCCTTAATTGCGGATGTGTATGAAGTTTCATTAAATCATCTTCATCAGATCAGAAGTTACAGGTGGGACAAGAGAAAGTTAAGACCTATGAATGCGTCTGCTTTTTGACAGGCGTATGAAAAATGGCGAATTAGGGCAACCATGAAATCCTAAAACATCAACATTTTCTACCTGAAATTTAAAATAAAAAAAACTATGACTACACCGTGATGCAGAATCCTGTGAGTATTTGGTTTAAATGTGTTTTTGAGCAGAGAGCTGGTACCAAGAAGGTGTTGCTGCAGTGTCCACAGGAAACCCGGGCTCCAGCAGGCTGCGGATCAGGACTGGCCGGGCCAGGATGAACCGGGCCCAGATTTATTATCCTCTTACTGGAAGGAGACAGACAGACAGAAAGTTGGCACACAAGTGAATCCTGAGATATTTCAAAGTAAGTGCAAACTACAGTCATTACGCCTGATGTTACTGAGCCATTGTCTCAAGGGTAAACTGCAGCGCTGCTTTATAGAATCCATCAGCAGCCGTCATCTCATTACTATATCCAGCGCTTCTATGAAAATCAACCTCCTGACACAGACGGCAGCTGAGAAACACTGAGATGTGTCTGTTTGAGTCAGCACGTCTGGTTTGAATGCAAAACAGCAACACTGGAGCTAAACTCTTAAGAGTATTAATGAAGGGAGCGCTGCCTCCGTGAGACGTACATAATGAGGAGCTTACTGAGATTTGTGAGCAATAAAGCTAAATATACACAGTTATGCAAATGTTTCGGTGTGAATATTTCAGCATAATAATAAAGTTTACTGTTCAAACACAGCAGGTACAGATTAAGCCAATTAATTTCAAAACACAAGATTAAAAAAATAAGACCGACTACATTGAAGACCTAGATTCCTTTGAGGCTCACCGCCCTTCGTGCCAGTTTTACAACAAAAGCATCTACAGTGAAAAGGGACGAAGTTAAAGCTGCACTGGTCAAACGTTGTAAATTATAATATGCGTGATTTTATGGGATACAGTAGTCCCTCGCTACTTCACGGTCCGACTTTTGCAGACTCGCTCTTTCGCTGTTTTTCAAAGTAAAATTGTACACGACACTCGATTGTCAACTATAATATTACTCACGTGATTGGGACAGTATGGGATACAGTAAAAAGTTTACAAAAAAATAAAATACTTTGGACAGGGGCCGCCATTTTGTAGTTTTCTCTCAATAAGCCTACACTGTATCGCCACTCAAAAGGACTACATTTCCCAGAAGCCAACAGTGCTTCCAGCCGTTGCCTTCTGCTGAAATGGAGGGAAAGTTTTGATCTGATCTGAAAAAGTTCAGTCCTTATTCATACTGACTTCAGCGCCCAGCGGGTGCAGAGAGACACACGGAACCGACCAAGAACCGGACCAGAAATGGAGCTCCAGACGCATCAGTCAACCTGAGTGCCGCACGCCGGCCCACAAGGCCTCCCGAGCAGGAAGGCACCAGTCCGGCATTCTCTCCGGAGCCCAACGGGACTTCCCCCCCATCCGGATTTGGACTCGATCAGGACCCATGCTGGCCATCCTAAGGTCCAGCTCCCTCCAAAAGCATTTTGGTGCTCAAGGGCTGCAGAGGGCTGACCAGAACTGTTTTGGAATGTGGTTTCCACTCAAAAATCGGTCAATTTAAGTGTTAAATAAGAAAAATACTAAAATAAATATAGCGTTTCGACTTCGTGGTTTTTCACTTATTGCGGGGGAGTCTTGAATGTAACCCCCATGATAATCGAGGCAGTACTGTACTGTGAGATCTGGCTTATGTGTTGATGATGACTTTCAGCTACTACCACACAAAATTTAGCTCAACATCTGTAAAACTGACGGAGTTATGGTCGTAATCGTGCTGGGTAAAGACTCAGCTGTGGCAGCCATCTTGAAGTAAGTTGACAACAGTTAATCAGTTGTAGATGAACATCCGATCATTACTTTCTGACAAATTCAATTATGAGTTACACACGAGGCAACAAAAGTTAAAAATATATATATATTTTAAATAAATAAAACCCCAAATGTTGCCGTTACAGATTTCATGCCTCGGGCACAAACAGAATTTATCTCTCCTACCAAAAACACCAGGCTGCTGCAGCTTGATGTTGATGAGCTGCCAAAAGAAAGGAAAATCTATTTTCTGTGACGGACAAATTTAAATTTTAACTAAATAAATGTGGCACAAAGTGCTGAGAAGAACGGTTTCCTTTCTCAACTGTTATTATTTTTCTGTTTTCGTATAAGTTATTCTAGATATATTAAATTATTTGTTTTATTAGTCAACACTCGATAGGAAATTCCAATAAAATTAAAATATATTTTTTAATTTAATTAGACTTGATATGTAAAAGTGTCCTAATTCACAATAGAGTTGCATTCGGGCCTAAAAAACCTAACCCGGCCCGTAGATTTTTTTCCGAGCCCGACCCGATCAATTAACTAATTTACAGGCCCGAACCTGAAAAAAAAAAAAACTTTTTTATTGAGCTTCTACAGCTTTTGTAAGCAAATCAGTTTGACATTATAGTTTTAAAAATGTATTTCAAAGAAAGGAAGATATAAGATTTATTTTTTATTAACAAGTCACCAAATGGATACTAACATACAAAATGAACAGCCTAAAAAAATCAACTCTAAAGATTCATCTGTATAATATACAAATGAACACAAATATTTTTAGACCAAAATTATTTGGAATAATATAGAACAAGGATATTTTAATGGAACGCGCTGCTCGCTTCGGCTTTTGTAGCTTCAGATGCTGTAACTTCCTTCACCACCGATGACAGCAGGGTGTGGAGTAGGACGCGCGCGGCCGATGATCCCGTTGTCCATCTGAAGCTTAACAACTTTTTTTTTAACCTCTTTCAACCGGCCGGTCAGCAGACGCGTGCAGCTAATGATTTGGTTGTCCATCTGAAGCTTAACACAACAATTTTTTCCCCTTTCAACCGGTTAGTCAGCGGATGCACACAGCCGAAGAAACGGTGGTCCACCTGAAGCTTAACGCAACTTTTTTTAACCTCTTTCAACTGGTCGGTCAGCAGACACGTACGGCCAATGATCCGGTTGTCCATCTGAAGCTTTACGCAACTTTTTTTTTTAACCTCTTTCAACCGGCCGGTCAGGGGACGAGCACGGCCGATGATCCGGTTGTCCATCTGAAGCTTTACGCAACTTTTTTTTAACCTCTTTAAACCGGCCGGTCAGTGGTTGCACTCAGCCGAAGAAACGGTGGTCCACCTGAAGCTTAACGCAACTTTTTTTTTAACCTCTTTCAACCGGCCAGTCAGCAGACGCATACGGCCAATGATCCGGTTGTCCATCTGAAACTTTACGCAACTTTTTTTTTTAACCTCTTTCAACTGGTCGGTCAGCAGACGCGTACGGCCAATGATCCGGTTGTCCATCTGAAGCTTTACGCAACTTTTTTTTACCTCTTTCAACTGCCGGTCGGACCTGTGCGTGCACCCGACCTGACGCACATCAGCAGGTTTCACTGTGCTGGCTTTGTAGAGCGAGTTCTCCCGTTTTCAGCTTTTGCTTAATACTTTCCAGCTCCATTATGTCTCTTGTTGTGGGTCAATTGCAAATCCTGATGTGTGTGATAAGAGCAAAGGGCAGGCAGGGCCACATGTGTAATTAAAACCGCATCAAAAGCCCTACCCGGCCCGCCCATCAAACACATCATTTTGGTCCGAGTCGGGCACCAGCCCGGGCCAGAAATCACAATTCTAATTCAGAATACCCACACTCATTATCTGTCCGTGTCAGATAGAGTTGTCACCTAATGCAGACTAAATACGGAAAAATTAATGTTTATTATAGCATAAATTCTAAACTAAAACACTTAATTTACACAGTAAACAGCCTAATATCCACACAGACACATTTCTCACAAAGCTTGTCATGCAGAAGTAAAAAAACGATGATATGGCCTTTATAATGAGGGTGTTGTTTCCTCAGTCTGTCTCGCTGAGCTCCGTGCGTGAACCGTGCTCGGGGCACAGCCTTAATTGAAGGACTGCAGTTCCCGCTTGCTTCCTGTGCCTCACTCTTCTCTTAGAGCAGGACACAATGCTGCTGCACTCCTGCACACAAACACACCGAGTTTCTTACCAGTATGGTCGGGGACAAGCAATCCTCTGAGAAGAGACTTTGCAGATGAGAAGGCAGTTGCAGGGGCAGCGAACGTACTTCTTCCCTGTTGGGGCGTTCTTAATGGGCTGCAGAGGGAGACAGAAACACTTGAGAGATAAGAAAGTAGCAGAACAACAGATTAGAAAAGGAGGAGATAACGAGCCAATTATAAGTGATGGGTAAGAACGAACAAACTGAACAGGAAGGAGAAAGAGATTTTTATTTTTTAGAAGAAGCTGAATGTGGCTGCACACAAACTGAAGGTTAAGGGAATATTTTATCACCGCGGGAGTTCGAATGACAAACAAAAACGTTTTTTAGAGCCTGTGTAATAATTATTAGAAAGTTATGACTTAAACTAGACATAAAACAACGAGCATTTACTACGTTTAATCAGAGATATATTCAAGCTTAAAATCAGATACAAAACAACAAGTTTACTCTTACTAACAGTAAACACACTCAAAATTAACATTTTTATTTTTCATTGCCTCTTTGGGCACTTCATTCTTGAGCAGTTTATTTATACAGCACCAAGTTACAACAGAAGTTGACTCAAAAACATTCACATACATTAAAAAAGCTAATTAGTAAAAATGATCCAAGGAAGCAGCAGACTGCGTTGAATCTTCACGGCGTGGCAGTCTCCCATCCTGAGCACCTGCCTCGACCGGCTAATTAATAATTTAAAAAAAATCTTCTTTTTTAATCATCTGTATTTTGATTCAAACTGTTAAAACGTTATTTTTTAAATTTTGACTTTTCCGTAAGAAACAAGTCTCACAATAGTTTAAAATGTGTTAAATGAACACTCCAAAGCTGGGGGATCTTTGAATACAAAAATGAGCCGCGCCATGCTCCGCTGTTGAGTGTTTCCATCATACGAGCTGAGAAACGGTGCAGACGGTGACGGCTTACTTCGTCTGTTTCAATTTCTCTCTAAGAGCTAAAATTATTGTCATAAAATGTGGGGTTTCCTGGACACCAAGAATCTAAAACTAACGAGCCCCGGCTTACTGAACAAAGGCTATTTGTACAAATAGAAGCTAAAGAAAATTAAAAATAATAATCAGCAAACGATAATAAACTCTCTTCTTCTTCTTTCGGCTGCTCCCTTCTTCAGGGGGTCGCCACAGCGATTGGCAATGGTTTTTACTCCGGACGCACTTCCTGATGCAACCATAGACCACCGAGCTACCACAGCCCTCTGTGTGGAGCAGAGAGCTGCCGTGTAGGGCGCCTGGGGGAGCAGATGGTGGGAGCCTTGCTCAGAGGACCAAGGTGGGGCAAATGAGGGTGGAGGCAAATGTGGGTGCTTCACCTATCCCACCCACATTTTGATGATGTCTGTACAGGGAATTGAACCAGCGACCTTCTGATCACCGGCCTACCTTCTCTAACCTCTGAGCCACCATAAACATAATTAACATTAAATAGGCTTTTAAATGACATGAACCGTCTCTCATTTTATGGGTTTATTATTTTAGATGTTTGTGTTAATTATATTCTAAAGTTTTAATATCTACTGATCCCCCCCCCCCCCCCCCCCCCCTTTTTTTTTTTTTTTTAAATACACTGTATACTTCAACTCATTCTTTTAGGCAAAATGACTTCCAACGAAAATTAGCCTTTGGCTAACTTCAGTACATATACATTTGGCTTGTTTCAATGTTTATTAATGCACACCGTCCCCTTTTTAAATAAAAACTAAAACTAAGAATTGTATTAGAATATTGCAGTTTTTGGTAACTGTACTCGTGTACAGCTTGATAATCAAAATGCAACAGTATATTTAACAACAAAAGCACTGATTTGTCCACAGGTCTCAAGACAAGCTGGAGTTACATCAGCAGATTTAGGGACACATTAACCCTCCTGCTGTCCTTGGGTCAAAACGACCCTCCAAGGCAGAAATGGGCAAAATATGACTGAGGGTCAAAAGTGACCCTGGGACAATCCCCACCTGGCCCAATATATACTTAATTATAAAATAACTTTTGAACAAGTTGACGAAAACATGCATTTTATCAATGAAGCTTTAAGAAATTAAATTAAACATCTTGTGAAAATACATGAAATACGTTTGGATTAGGATTAGGACAGGCTAAATGTCTTTTTTAAGACATGTTTCAAGAACTAGACTGACCTGTAAAGACTCGGAGCAAATGTACAACTTTATTATTTGCATATTCAAAGTGGTCAAAAGAGCCAGTTCACAGAAAGATCGTCTTATACTCCTGAAGAGTATTTAGGAGGAAAAAAGTCTTCCAGATTATCGGTCTTAAAGAAGAGCTCTTTTCCAATTCACTGTGGCCCTTTGATCGCTTTAAATATCTCAATATGGCCCTATGAAAAAAATAATAATAATTTGCTCACTCCTGCCCCAAGGCTTCTGAGGTCCCTGGGGTCATTTTGACCCAAGGGCAGCAGGAGGGTGAACCATTATATGGAGACATGAACTGTGCTGACACTGCACTGTCACAATAAACACCTTTTTTTATACAATGCAGGCTGTAAGGCTGTTTCAGTTTTACACTTTAAATTTGATCACAAATTTATCTCTGATAGTTGTGATTTATTTATTTATTTTTGGGGGGCTTATCTGAGCTGAGGTTCAGAGAAGCAAAGCTGGTAAGACATGGTTATGCTGAAACCCTGAAAGCTGGTTTGAGAATCATCATTAGCAGCTACGAACAACTCGGGAGCAAAGCGCCAACCAACACATTCTTTTTGTTTTATGAAGTCAGCTAAGAGTCCAGCACACAATTTGTAACATTGATCGCATTTATGTGCAAAGCCTGCATATTGTGTGCATGACTAATACCACTATAAGTTTATTAACTTCAAGTATGGATTTACACAGATTAATGTTTTTTTTTCTCTGCTGACCAGAGGAAAGCTCTGTAGCACAATCTTATAATCAGAAGTCACTCCCATCGTTCTGAAGACAAAAGTCAGGCACAAACTCATTCAGGGAAACAGACAACCTATTCTCCATTACCCCCTTTTACTTCAGAGTCCCTTTGGAAAGAAGTGTCTGCAGAATCAATGTAATGTAATGAGTCACTGCAGCTTCACTCATGGCCACAATGATAAACAGCCGATTTCGCCCACATATGAACAGTACTAATACAGGAAGGACCAGCGCTGGGTAACACTGTGATGATTTAATGGAAAAACACAACACATGCCTAACTTTTCACTAACCGGCTCTGGTAAACAACAACCACAACAAACTGCACCCATGTTGTTCCTGTTTGTCTTGAACGTATTTTACAACTGGTACAATGGCAGCAGCTTTTCATAAACAGGATCAACACAGTCCCCCTACATACCGTACCGTGTACTTCTACATACGTTGGCTCCATCTGCAACTTGTTTGTAACTTTTACTACAGCTGGGTGCAAATCTCACATTTCTTCTTCCATCTGCACATGGATTTGCACCGCTAGTGATGCACGCTCGTGGAGCCGTGTCGGCCTGTGACTGCAGCAGTGATTTCTGCTGGAATCCCACGCTGTGTTTTCATCAGCGCAACTGTCGAATTGTCCTAATTATCGGGGACCCGTTTCTGTGGTCAAAAACACGATTAGAACTTGGTAAATAAAGCTGACGCCGAGCATCTGTTTCTCGAGGCTTGTCACAACTCGACAGTCTCTGAATGGAGGTAATAATTTAAAAACTTCAGCGTATCATTGTCAGATAATTAGCTGCCTGTGTAATTACTACAAGAGCATAATGAGATGTATGGTACGTGCAGGCATTTCTAAACACGTTGGTTGTGCTTGTTTGTATACCTGACACCGTCTAACATCAACTCTACACTTCCATAGACTATTTGAATACTTTAATTTAACATGATTGTGCGTGTAGAACATTTTAATTATATGCACAAGGATAACATGCAGTTTGAAGCACACCTGCACAGTAAGTTGAGATGACACTGCCCTTGTTTGACCAGTATTTTATGAGTTTAAATAAAACAAAAGAAGTGTGTCAAACATTTTTAGTTTTCTGTTCAACCGACACTAACCAGTCACTTGATGCACAGTAATTACTTTAAAGATTGTTATTTACGTTGTAATTTCTAGGATTAAATACAGCATGATGCAACGTTTGTTTTATAGCAGCTTCAGAAAAACTTAAAATAAATCAAAAGTGATGGTAATTTTGATTTTGACAAATCCGCTAAATAAATTTGCTGCTTTAACCATTTAAAAAAAAATGTATTTACGATCAATTCACCTCACAAAGACTGGAAACGAGGGAAGATGTCTTGAGCGGTTTTAAAACTGGTTCAAAAGAACTGCTCACAGCTGTAAACATCTGGCTTCATCCACTCCAGGTTTGTTGGGAACACAACACCTGAATGCTTGTGTTTTATGAAGGGGCTGCATTTGAAGCAGCACGACTGGGTACAATTCAATTTTTCTTCAGAGAAACACATTTGTCACTTGATGCTTTTAATTAATTTTCAGTACTATCATTTTTTTTTTAATTGTTATTTTTTCCATGAAATTACTCCCATTGACTGTTAATCAATTTGGTAACAGCTGCTGTTTTAAATGTGCTTTATACATAAAGTTGACTTGACCAGTAACATTTCACATGAAAGCTGTGAAATTAAAGAGACATGACACCACAGGCGAGTGACATTACCTCCCTGGTGCAGTCAGAAATATTTAACCAGTCTTCTTAACTCCATTAATTGTGATTATCTAAACTGCAGTCAATGTTTTCTTTGTGAGGACAAAAATAAATAAAGCTCTGCTAAAGATAAAGTTGCATAAAAAAAATAAAAATCAATACAAGATGAATACTTCAAAAGTTTTGACCTTTAATTTAATCTGAAACCCCTAGATATCTTCAAAAATTCAAACAATTCAAGCGGTCGACTCCTGAGAGTGGACATTCAAAGGGAAGGCCGAGTTAGAAGGAATGAAACGGACGAGATCCAGAAAATAAACACCCACCAGCAAACCGAAAGACAGAATCGTACTGGCAAACGAACTCAGTCTCTGCTTTGTCTGTACTGTCCTTGAGGTACAACCACTCCGCTATCACCAGCATATATCTGTGATGTAACACAGACGTGTTGTTAAAGCAGCCAACTGCCACAACGATTTTTACCATTAGGCTTACACAGAGCACAGACTGCGACTTTGATATTTTAACACAACAGCAATCAGATTTATAAATCTGTGATAAAGTAAATTTTGCTTTCAGCCTTGCTGTTATTATTGTCTGCATTGGAGCTTTTCTGCGCATCCGTATCAACAGGAACTTACCGTAGCTTCATTGCAAACGCCACACTTCACCACATGTTGATGCGTCTTGCCCTCCACAGAGATGAGGCTCTGACACACCCTGCAGCTGATAACAGGTGCATTTCCACTCTCCGGGGAGGTGAGAGGAGACAAAGGTGGAGGGTCCTCTCCTAGGAGCACAGAGGGCTGACTGGAGCTGGGAAAAGCAGGGAAGCCTGAACAGGACAGAGAGAGAATAATACAGAATAAAACAGAAGATAAGCGACAATTGTTTCAGGTCACACGCACTGTTCTACAGCTTGGGAAAAAAGACAATTCTCGTAGTAAATAACCTATTACAGCAAACAAGTTAATGAGATTTGGTCTTGAGTTCAGCAGAAAGGAGCTTTGGAAGAGAAGCACTCGTGGAATGCAGGTCAGGGCTGGTTTCGACACGAGAGTTTCAGTATTTGTAAAAGTCTGGAGTTAAACCGCAGCGTGTGGGACAGCTTAACAGAGACATTCCCAGCCAAATGCAAAGCTGTCTGCTCTGCTTTTTTTTTGTGTGGTTAGAGAATGCTATGCGAGAAAAATACAAATTAAAAATTGAAGCTCTCAGGCTCATCGCTGGTGGCGCCTTGCAGCATCCCTCCGCAGCATCCGTAGTGACACGTCAATCAAAGCAGGTGTTTCTGGGATGCTAGCCTCAAACCCAAACCTTAAACTTGTATCAACTACTACTGCATTACGCACAAATAAACACAAAAAATATACAGCTCACTGACAACGACTGCAACGTAACCGTAAGAGTAGCGGATAGTTTGCCGGGTGCTAAAAGCTAACTCCGGTCGCTAACATTGCTAGCATGTTGCTAGCTTAGCTTCAAATAAAAATAGTAAAACTGCTACATTGTCCAACCGGAGACGTTTATGAGCACATATACGTGCTTACACCATATTCTACTGAGTCACACTGAAAACACGCTGATATTATGTCACTGCCACACCGGAGCTAGCAGCCAAACCAGAATGTCCAGTCAGTGCTAGCTAGCTCAGGCTGGGGTCGGGGGAGAGGAGAGGGAGCCCCCCGCATCATACTCACTCTGAGGTTTGTTGGGCACGCCGTACGGCCCCGAGCCGGGAGAAACCCCGCCGTTACCGCTGCCGAGAGCACCATCTCCCAAATCTGACAGCAACGGGGACCTCTCGCCGTCCGCCATACCGAGAGAGAGGCGTAGGAGGGAGGGAGAGGAGAGCGATTGCAGACCGATACGGCGTTGTATTGTTGTGCCGGAAATGAAGGAAGTCACGTGACCACAACCACCCATCAACCGGTGCTGCGGTGCCCGGAAAGGGGCCTCCCCGGAATGAAATCAGGGTATTAGATTGTGGAATGATCTGGAGGTTGATATTAAAAATGCCAAAACTATGTACATATTCAAGAGGATGATAAAAAAATTTTTTTTTTTTTAAATATTAAGTATAATGTGAGTTCATAAAAATTGTTTACAGTTGATCTTATATTTTAGCTAAGTTTTTTTTTATTATTTTTTACTTTTTTATTTTTTTATAAATTCATCTTGCTTTTGTATAGTAATTTTGTTTGGAATATATTTTGGGGACAAGGGGCAGATATTATAAGAATTCATTCTTCTGCTGCCTTTCATTTTATTTCGGTGATTGTATATCTTTTTTCTTTTCTTTAAATTGTATTATATTTGTTGTTTGGATGAAATGAAATGGATGAATAAAACATACATACATACATACATACAAAACTAATCCATAACATAAATCAGTGACAACTTATAAAACATCTGTTTAAAGTCACACCTTCAGGCAGTTTATTTTGGCTACCTGATGCAAGCAAGATTTGTTAAACTATGGGAACTATTCAATTGATTTTCAAAGTATTTTTTGTGCATTTTAAAGTCACAAGTACTAGACCCAAAGTCGTGATTTAAATTCATAATTATCAAGTTAATAAAGCAAATGTATGGGTTTTAAAGTCGTTTCATGACTTAGAAAGCAAAAATTATTTCGTTGGTGGAGATTCTCCGTCATCCACGACATGGTAAATTCAACAAAGTTCGAGACAAAAACTGGACTTTGTTTGTAACAGAAGACGTTTCGCTTCTCATCCGAGAAGCTTTCTCAATTCAAAGAGCAGTGAGTGTGGGGTTAAAGTTATAAAGCTGAGATAAGATACATACATATGCAGATTGACCTATCACACCTCACACTAGGGGTTCGTTAAGGTCTCTGTTAATCTAATTCACAGATGAGAAGTGAAACGTCTTCTGTTACAAATAAAGTCCAGCTGTTTTTGTCTTGAACTTTTTTGAAAAATTATTTCATCTTCATCTACTTCTACCATTTATCCGTAGTTAGATCTCAGAGTCAACAGGTCCCAAAAAGAAACTCAGACATCCTTCTCCGCAGTGACACTTTATAGCTTGTCTTTGGGGACTCCAAGGTGTTCCCAGGCCAATTCATTCAACATTTATTTGGTTAATCCCATTGAGCCTCGGGGACTCATTTACAAGAGAGACCTGAATAATCAATCAATCAATAATCAATAATACCTCCAGTGTTTTCTGGGTCTTTCTCGGGGCCTCCTAACAGTGGGACGTGCTCAGAAAACCTCTAGGCATCCTAATCAGATGTCTGAACCTCCTAACTGAATCCTTTCGATGCAGAGGAGCAGCGGATCCACTCCAGGCTCCCCCTGGATGATGGAGCTCCTCGCCTTATCTCTCATATCTCCTATCCGCCTCAGTGCAGACTGAATTTGGCCAAAGGACCTTGTCTTACTCCTCTCCAGTAACCTGGAACACCTTGCAAAAAGCTCTGAAGTCGTCGACTTTGACCTCTCTAAGGGATTTTAAACAACTGTTATAGGTTCATCGCAAAAATCAGTGCAATCCTGGTTTTGGTATTTTATATTGTTTTGTTTTATTTAATTTATTTTCATTTTCTATGCTTTTATACGATTGTCTATTGTTATTTATCTCATTTGTGTTCTTTGTTTACAATGGGTCTCTCTTGTAAATGAGTCCCTTGACTCAATGAGACTAACCAGTATAAATAAAGGTTGAATGAATCTCTAAGGCTGACCCTGTGAAGGAAGCCCGCCACTTGTATCTGGGATCTCCTTCTTTCTGTCATGATCCAAAAAGACTAACTCAGCTTCCTGACACCCCCCCCCCCCCCCCCCCCCCCCCCCCCCCCCTTAAAAACTGCTCTGGGACATTTATTTATTTTTATGAATAGTTTATGAACTCGGTCACTTTAACAGCCTACAAGCTCACTCTACTGTTTTATTGCATTATATTTTGCACTACTGTTATGATCAACTCGTCCTGTCTATTCTGGTAATTCTGGTATTGTCATTTCCACTTAATCACCTCATCAGTACATAACTGTGACTCTATATAGAACCGGTATGCACACCTTCACTTTACTAAGTTTCTCAGGTTTATACTTTATATTGCACTATTGTTTACTCTGGCCTTGCACATCCATTATCTACCTCTCATCACGTTATTGTCTTCAGTCAGCGTCCCTTTGTCTCCTGTTAGTCACTATTGAGCACGTTGCATCAGAGGTCCTGCTGCTGTTCACTTTTATATTTTTTATATAATTAGTTGTGTTAGTTTATTTTTGCTAATGTTGTTGTTTGCTGCAACTTGAGTAGGAGTGTAACGCAATTTCAATTTCTATGTATGTCCTGTACATATGCAGAATTGACAATAAAATCAATCAATCAATCAAACCTCATGACCATCGGTGAGTGTTGGACCGAAGACAGACCAGTAAACTGAGAGTTTTGTCTTTTGATTCAGCTCTTTCTTCATGACAGATTGAAGCAATGTCCTCATTACTGAGGGCAAGGCCCCAGTTCGTCAATCTCCCACTCCATCCTACCACCACTTATGAACAAGACACCTTAAACTCCTCCACCTGAGGCAAAGTCTACACATAGGGGACAATCCTCCTGTTTTTGGTCAAGAGCTATGGCGTCTGGAACTGACTCTTGTTCCAGCTCCTTCACACTCAGCTGTGAACCACCCCAGTGAACGCTAAAGGTCTTGGCCTGAAGAAGCCAGCAGAATCACAGCCTCCATATAAAGCAGAAATGAGACCCTGAGGATCCCAAACCAGACACAGTCTTCTCCCCGACTACACCTCAAGGTCCTGTCCATGAATACCACAAACAGGGTGGGATCAATCAAAAGTCTACACATGACACTGGAGTTGTTTCATCCCAGGAGATTAATTAAAAAAATATTTCACAGTACATTTTTAAGACAATAAATACAAAATCCTTTAAATAAAAAGTATGTTGGATCTTTACCTGAATGTTGCTCGTTACTGAGTGATATGACAGACACGTTATACTAATAATAAACATGTTTATTATATTTCCTCATTTTCAAATCAGTTGTTAACTTTTAAAAATCAAAGCATTCACAGGATTCCCTTGCATCATTTATGTTTGCTTGTTTTAAAGTCTATAAACCAACAGTGCATGGTTTTGTGTCAGCATGTTCACTGTTTTTATCCTTTCTCACTGCATGTTAATAAAGTCCATGGGTCTCTTCATCAATAGCGTCACCTCCAGTTCCTGCCTTTCACTAAAGAACTGGGCCTTGCCCTCTTGACTGTGGATGGGATGGGGTAGATGGAGGCCCAGTTTGCTGAAGAAAGAAGAAAAGATAAATTCAAGAGACAAGGAGAGCACAGGGGAGACGTTAAGTGTTTGAGGAGGGTGTTACGAGCTGAATGAAACAGAAATCAAAGCTCAGGTCACAATGACAACATTTGATTAAAGTGAATGTCTAGAGAGCTGAGCTCTTGGTCTGAACTGTCATCAAGGGAACACAAATTAAAAATAAAAGGCTTTTCTTACTATTTTGTGGTCCGCAGGTCGAGGAAATTCTCTTTCACATCCAGGAAGACATCTGTTGCTTTAGTGTCTGGTAGTTTTATTTTCACCTGAGTGACGATCATGGTTCAACATATTATTAAAGATTAACTTTCTCAGATTACTAAAATCTGCACACAGACCACTTTGAGCTTAGCCTCAAACATCTCAAAGTGGGTGATAAAAAATATATATATAGAGATGTTCGTTAAATTACCAGCATGGCCTCACAGCACATTGAGGATGGGTCCTTCCTGTTTAAGCCCAAGAACAGATCCTCAGTTCCCACATTCTGCTTCAGGATAATTTCATATCTGCACAAAAACAACACATCGTGGACAAAAAACTGCTCTTTATCTTGTCACAAATTAAAAAAAAGTTGTATTTTCCCTTTTTTATTTAGCTCGTCAAGGGCCTGTAATCGTTTAGGTCTGCATATCATGTTTGTCTTACTCAGGTTGTGGTCGTGGGTCTGTCAGATCGTCATACTGAGAGCCCTCAGCCACCTCTTCCTCACTCCAGATATCTTTGCTGCTCCTTTTTGTGTAGGCACTTGATGCTTAAACAATAATACACATCATCAGCGTGTGTCTTATTTTAAGCAAATATGTATTAAAGAAACAAAAGTAAGTACAGTACCTTCTGTATTTCTTTTGGGTGGGGGGCCAATATGTCCAGGACCCATATGTGCACCGGGGGTTACACTCTGTTAAAATGCAACTTTTTACATTTAAAAATGGCACAATGCAACTATAAACAATTAACCAAATAATGCTGTTTTTTAAATTCCTACATTAACCTATTAGTTAGTGTAAATCTTACTTTGCAGTCGTCGTCTTCCTCCTCCTGTTGATTGGATAACAGTGCAGACAGAGCCTGAAGGCTCTGAACGGATGAAACTCCGAGACACTCCATTTTAATTAATTAACAAAACGTCACAACCGCCTCAAAACTGCAGCAAGCGCGAGTAAGATGCAAATAAAACTTTACAACTTAGCGAGAGAATATCACCCGGACTTTCACAACAGCAATCTCCGAGCTATCATTTAAGCTAGCATTGTGACTGCTGATGTTGACATTTTCCGTCGCCGTGGAGACGGAGGCGTTCGTGTTGCCGTGGCAACCAGAAACGTCGAAAATAATACGGTTGTGGTTATTCATTCATTCATTCAGTCATTCGTTCAACCTTTATTTAAACAGATAAATCACATCGAGCCTCAAAGACTCATTTACAAGTGAGACCTGTTTGGACAGACAAAAAAAGTGGTAAACTGGACACATGTAGGAGTTCATACATTATATATCATTTTATCATAAATGGAGTGTGGTCAAATTAAAAGTAACACTGATTTTTTTTTTTTTTTAACTTAAACAAAAAATTTAAAAGGTTGAATAAATGAAAAAAACAACAACCCCTAATTAGACCTAATTTATTCAAAAACCAAGGGCGGTCTGACCGTTTTGTAGGTACTCTAAAGTGAATAAAACCGGTCTCGTTCACGTAAATTCAGCTATTGTACATTAATAGTCTAATATTACAATATAAAATGATTGTTTTTCTTAATCAAAGTGTTTAAACAGAGGCGGCCTCTGTCCCTTCACGGCCACTGTAGAGAACGTTCGGCCTCCGGGAGTCAAGCCCCTTCGCGGCCACCGTAGCGAATGTATGGCCTTAGAGAAACTCGCTCAAGGTGACGGAGTGCGCCATGTCGGGAGCTCTGCGTTTGTTTCCATTCGCCGTTTTCGCTGCCGGTGAAGGCGAAGACAAGGCTGCGGACTCTTTAAGCCTGGACGAACTGTCCTTGTACACCGCTCCCCAGCACAACTTTCGGTATGTGGAGCCTGAAGCGGGTCAGATGGAGGAGAGCGTCGCCACCCTCCGGAAGTTAGCGGAGCCATGCACGGCTTGGTGTCAGGGCGCCTACGGCAAAATTGAACCCAAAGTTCAGAAAGTCGTCCAGTTTGGAAACGACACCTACAGTTATCTGCAGAACCCTCCGAAGGACTTTTACCCTCGGGCAGGAATCATCGGCTTCGCCGGACTCCTCGGACTGTTTCTGGCCAGAGGCTCCAGGGTGAAGAAAGTCCTGTACCCGGCGGGCTTCGTGGCCGTCGGCGCCTCCTTGTACTACCCGGAGCAGGCAGCCGCCATGGCCAAGTCAGCCGGAGAATGCGTGTACGAGTCCGCGGTGAAGAGCTACGCTTCTGTGGAAAAGATCCTGAACTCTCAAAGCAAAGACGGCAAAAAGCCCGGAAGTAAACCGTAAATTTGTCGGTTTAACTTGTTTACACTGAGCTGTAACTAACCAGCAGCTTCCGGTCACGTCCCTGGACAAGCTTTAAAATCTATGCACTCAAGTTTTACTTGTACCCCGGGCTGAAACTTGAATTCATTTCTTCTGATCTGAATGTATATTTATGTAGAATAAATGTCAGAGTTAAAACTTTTCTCGTTCTCTGCTCTGTAAAACATTCGTCTTAGACCAATTAGAGAAGTGAAACAAAAACTTTGCAGCGGTTAAGTTGAAATTTTGAGTTAGAATTTAATTTGCGCCGTGGTTAAACATTATATCAGACTTTTAAAACAGTCTTAACTGGAATATTAAGCGATTAATCTTTAAAATCAAGCATAGTATCCCAAATAATTTAATAACTGCAGCAACAACAGTGCCTGTAACAGAGAAATAAACACAGCGTATTTGTTTAACATCTTTATTCATCTTAGCCAAACAAAGAAGGGGAAAGCACAAAAATTAAATATGAATGACTGAAGAAGTCTCAGAGCAGCACGAGCTTCTCATTCAGGGCAATCTGTGCTTGGGTCAGGTTAGACAGGTAGGTCACCATCAACAGGTCCTGCAGGAACAAGACGAGCGTTTGTGTTTATGTGACAGGAACAGTGACGCACGAGGAAGAGTTCAATATCAGCACAGCATTACAAAGAAACCAACCAGAGAGATTTGTATTTAAACTTAAATGTGTGAATGCAGAGTGCTGAAATTACTGATGAAATTTGTTGAAGCTAAAGCTGATCTGTTAAAGCTTAAAGTAGCAGAATGAGAGTAAAACTAAAAGGAGCAAACCACCTGGCAACGTTAGTAAAACACTAGTTAAATGTACCAAAGCTAGCTTAAAAACCATAAGTAGCAAAACGCTAGCGAAAGAGTTAAATTGGCTAAAAGCAATCAAGTTTGAGGTAAAAGTAGTAGAGCCGTAGCTGGGCCGAAAGGAACATAAATCATGTATTTGTATGAGAAAAATATTTGCAAATCAAATTACAAAAAAAAACAAAAGCCAGAGCGCTCGTCTCTCGAATGTACTGAATGTTTTGTTCGATTTAAATTAGCACACAAAAAAAGGAGTGGTTAGATTGGACATAAACAATGTGAATGCTGAACCATCAAAACTCTGATAACTTCTATCAACTGAACATTATAAACAAACACAGTTGGGCGGTATAATGCAAGCTGGAAAAGTGATAACAGCAAACAATTTGTGAGTACATCCAGTTATCTTAATGTCATATTCAAGGGCAGTGCACATTTTATTTACATGGTTTTGAGGATTACTTACGTTGATGTTGGAATTGAGCATGTTTTCAAAGTCCTTGGCTGAGATGGTTGGCACTTTGTTGACCAGATCCATGAGAAAACGACCCACGCTATTATCTGCGGTCACCTTCCCAGACTGAGACAAACCAAACAGCGTTAAGTGTTTAAATCAGTTTTCAAAGTTCACTAAACAAGCAGGAAGGAAATTAACTAGGCCTGTCACGATAACAAATTTTGCCGGTCGATTAATTGTCTCAGAAATTATTGTGATAAACGATAATATTGTTTGAAATTTGACAATTTGTAATTGTTGTCAAATTTAAGAAGAAATGTTGGTTAATTTGTTTTGAGTGTAGTATCTTTTTTGACCACCAGCAGAATAAGACTGAACCGAAGGATGGAGAGGGAGGGAGCGAGCAGCGTGTCTCTTTAATAAAAATGGGAGGGAGGCCCCTTGACGTGACATGGGCTGTCTCTCCTTTTTTTTGGTTCTCAAAATGGCGGCCGCTCAGTGTGGTCTGAGCTCTTTAGCGTAGCGTTTTTCACACAAAGCTTTTAATGAAAAATCAGTAAACAAGTTCTCAGCTTCTTTTTGCAGAGAAAAACAACTTTTTACACAGAGGCACGGGTTTCAACCGTGAATTTTGGAGCTTCAACAAGACGGAGGTTTGTTTCCTGAGGTCGGCCTGTTAGCTTAGCTCGTAGCCTAGCTTTTCAGCTTAGCTGCTTTTAACGATCCAGAAACACAATTTTGGATGGTTAAAACAGATTTTAAATAGTAAAGAGAAAGGGAGGGGTCAGTGAAGAGCACCAGAGTTGAGTCTTTAGTCATCCAGTGTCTTCAGTAGAAAGAGAGAGACACGATGAAACGATAAAGCCGATAAATGAAAACGAGGTAGAGAATTTTCATTTATCATGCGATTAATTGATTTATTGCTTATCGTGACAGGCCTAGCAATAAAACCAGTGCACTGTACATATGAAGGGTCAAGCTCAGCTCTCATACTCACCACCACATCCTCAATGTATGCAAGCACTGTGGTCAGCATGTCCTGTACCCTGGCTGCAGCGCCGCCCACCTGAGACAGGTCAGAGGTCAGGCCCTTGGTACGAGTGGAAGCCAGACGTGTCCTCTGCAGAAGATCCACTAAAACACAAAAGACCAAGCATGTAGTACAGTTATAATTAAACAGATGTTCATCACACAGGCTTTTCAAACATTAAATGTTTCGATTCAAAGAGCTCCTTTCGTTGTATTCTTACCGCCTATCCTCTCGGTGTCATAGTAGATGTACTTGACCGTCAGTGGAGTGAACATGACACCAACTGTTTTTCCTGGTACACCCATCTGAGCACTGAGGGAGACACAGACACGTTCAGAAGGTCATTCTCAGTCTGCAGACGATCACACACGAATCCGTTGGCAGACGGTCGGATCGGACAACCTGACGTAGGCGCGGATGTTCATTTTGCCACTCTGCAGCGCCGAGTCCACCGTCAGGTGAATGGGGTTGGAGGCCTCGCGGCTGTAGTACTCGTGGATGAGCACAGAGTGTTCGGTGATGTCAAAGCCTGTGGCGTACCTGTCGGGGAAAGGTGTGAGTTTATTTAGGAATGTTGGCTCCCTCCAATAAAATTCTTAAAATGACATATTTAACGAGCCGACGCACCACCCAATGATGACCTCTGTGGGCGACACCCTCTTGTGAAGCTCATACATGTTCTTGGCAAACTCCATGTCCACAGCGACCTGTCGTCACGAAGAATGTTATATTTGTAAGCTCACATCTTCACAAAACTTTTATTCTTGTACAGAATGTTGGGATTTATAGTTTAAGTTCATATATTAGAATTTACGCCATTTTACGTTAAAAAAAAAGTTTTGACACCCGTTAAAAACAAAAAATAAACACCGCAAACATTTTAAAACCGTTTTAACATTTTGCTCGTTTTGTTCAGACATTTAGTCTTGTTCTGAGCGTCAAATTAATATTTCAAGCCTTTATTTCTTGTTATTTTGAAGAATGTGGCTTACAAATAACGAAAAAACAAAAATTTGGTATCAGACAATTAGAATAGTCCACGGCCAACTTTTGGTACCTCTGGCAGTGTGAGCAGGAGCCAAGTCCTGCTGAAAAACTACATCATCTCCATAACGCTTGTGAGCAGAAGGAAGCATGAAGTCTCTAACATGTCCTGCTAGATGCTGCGTTCACCGTGGACCTCAGAAAACCCGGTGGACCAGCATCAGCAGAGGACATGGACCCAAACCATCAATGACTGTGGAAACATCAGTCTGAACTTCAAGCATCGTGGATTCTGGGCCTCTCCACTCTTCCTCCAGACTTTGGGACCTTGATTTCCCAATGACATAAAAAATTTACTTTCATCTGAAAAGAGGACATTGGACCACTGAGCAACAGTCCAGGTCTTTGTCTCCTCAGCAGGTAAGATGCCTCTGACATCGTCTATGGTTCAGGAGTGGCTCGACTTGAGGAATGGGACATTTGCAGCTCATGTCTAGGCGTTTTGGTGTGACACCAGGAGTTACAATATTAAATCTCTCGAGTTCTATCTTATTTTCTGAGACACTGAATTTGGGCTTGTCGTCATCAATAAGCCATAATGATCTAAATTACAAGAAAGGCTTGAAATGTTACATGCATGTTAGGCTGATTGGTGACTAAGTTGTTCGTAGGTAAGGGTGAGAGAGTGAATGATTGTCTCGCTTGTTTCTATGTCGCCCTGTGATGGACTTGCAACCTGTCCAGGGCATCCCCCACCTGTTGCACAGTGATTGATGGATACTGGCACTAGTGACCCCGTGAACCTAAAGGGTAAAGATAATGGATGGACTGTTCGGCTTCTTTTAGCCTCAACTCAGCTAAAGCTTAGACAGCAAATTAAAGCAAAGTCATTTCGGAGGAGGTACTCGACATCCACTAGTCCAGGGTTAATTCAACTAGTGGTCCAGGGGCCAAACCAGGCCCATGGGTGGGCTGAGTTCGACCCAACAACTGGTTCATTTAGAAATGAAACGAGATTTAAAATCACAAAACAAACTTACTTAATAAAAAATAACTGTTGGATGTCCAACCCCAGAGCTCTTAGCTTTCAGTAACTGTGGCCCACTGAGCAATTTAGTGGAATAGCCCTGCACCAGTGGTGGGATGTAACCAAGTACAAATACTTCATTACTGTACTTAAGTACATTTTTCATGTATCTGTACTTTACTTAAGTAGAGTTAAATGTGGGTACTTTATACTTTTACTCCACTACATTTTACACCAAGTATCTGTACTTTCTACTACACTACATTTCTATAACATGTTGCATTACAAGTTACATTCATGTTGCAGCTTTTTGATTTGTTACTTTGAAAGTAACCAATGGTGAGAGGGGAGCTGGTCCATTGAATCACTGCAAAGTGGGCAGGTAACGTTAGGCCCGCCTTCAAGAAGAGCTGAGCCAATGGTGTATATTCTAGTATATATATATGTCACTGAGCTGGGTGCACCCGCAGCACCACTAACACACCCAAAATGTATTCCACCGCAAGAGTCAGCCAGAAGATACGCTCCACCCATGGCCTTATTGAAAGACTGCTCATTACAACAGGACAGATTCTCTCTCCCAAAAGAGCCAGACTGGACTCAAAAATCTTTGAAAATCAACTTCTTCTGAACTTGAACAAGAAATTCTTGCTGCAATATTAAAATTTGTCAGTTCATAGGATGTTAGGAGACAAAAGATGTCTCTAAATGTCTCGACACTCAGGTCCAAGTTTTAAAAATGGTGTCAGGAAGTTAAAATATTGTTCACTATTGACCCATTACAAGGTTGAATACACAGTATTTTAACTAGTGTTGATGACAAACTGGAGTTGAAATATCAGTGGAAATGATCAGAGCCTGTTCCTTTGTTAGTTGTGTCTAATGCTCCTTTTGTTCAGGCAGACAACTTTTACTTAAATGTGTTTACTGCAGTTAAAATGACACATTGGTTTTGCTTTGTGTTAAATAGAAACTTTCAAAGGTAAAATCATTCCTCTTTCTTATTTTGATTAATGACATTTAACTCTGTATGTCATCCCTGAAATTCTGCTGCACAGAATCACAAGTCCAAGTGTGAACTGTGTCAGAGTAAACACGATAAAAACATGTATTATCCGCAGCATCGTTCATTAAAATGGAACAACACTATTAATGCATTACAGAAAATATACATATGGTATGCAGACTTAAAGATATGTAGACCATTGCATTAGATAATACATTCAACAAGTACTTTTACTTTTAATACTTAAGTATTTTAAAAGCAAGTACTTATTTACTTTTACTTAAGTAAAAATGTTAATGTGGTACTTCTACTTTTCCTAGAGTACTTGTTTGTCTGTTTATTTGTACTTTTACTTAAGTACAGTGTTTGAATACTTTCTCCACCACTGGCCTGCACTAGTCTATTTCTTTAATCGCCATTTTTAACTTTTACAACACTGTAAACAGTTGTTACATCACATTCTGTAGTACTAGCTTAAAACAATACTTGACACGTGTAGCCTATGTTTTGTTTCTGTTATTACTTCACCAGCTGTCCCACTTTTTATTTGTTAAAATAGTTTTAGGCGGATAGTGCTTGCTGCATTGTTGTCAGTGTAGCTCCAGCTTCTAAGTCTACTTGCAGACATGCGTCAGGTAAGTGTCCACTTGCCTCATCTTCAGACTCATTGTGGGGAACAGAGAAGCAGTTGGTCACGTCGATAGAATGCTTGTCAACAGTGCCTAAAAGAGACAAATGTTAGAAATGAGTGATCCGATGAATTGACGTTAGAAACAGCTGTCACCGCTCCGGGTTCGTATCAGGCTAAAAACTAAGCCAACGTGCGTTAGCAGGCGAGCTAACGCTACTAGCCACATCCTGTCAGCATCTTAATCACGAGGGTTCGTGTCCGCTCCAAGGACAGACATGTCAGCTTTCTGCTTACCCAACAGGGTTCCGATCACTCGACTCGCTCCCTCATTCCTTCGCTCGTACGAGTCACAGATAGAAGCGAGAACGACGGGGTGAATTTTCACCACTGGCCCGAACACCGACATCTTGGAGAAAGAGGCTGGAACAACGTCCGCGGTGAAAACCTGCACCGCCACCTGGAGGCGGGCGGGAGAACTGCAGGGGAGCTATTTTTATTGATGTCTTTATAGGACTGCCAAGTTTCAAAAGATGATATGACGGACTGAATGGGCATAAAGCAGAAGAAAAAATAGTACTTTTAAAGCCAATATTTAACGTTGTTTCCACAAAGGGTGAGAAAATGCAACAAATGATCCATTGCAAAAATAAAAAAGAACTACAATCTGTGTCACTTTTGCTGTTTTGAGTTTAAGGATAGTGTTTTGCTTCTTTTAATTTGCCTTTTATTACATTCTATTTTGATCTAGCCTTTAATATGTTTGGCTTTCATGTAGTGTTACCACTGTGCTTGCTCAGTACTGTGACGAAGTGAAGATTCAACGAGTCTGCCGCTTCCTTAGATAGAGAACTTTACTAATTGGCTTTTTATGAATGTGAATGTTTCTGGTCAGTGCCCTGAGACAACTTTGTTGTAAATTGGCGCTATATAAATAAAATGAATTGAGTGTCTTGCTATTTTAACTAACCCTTTGTTACTTTTAGCTAGTTTTATATTCTTTTAGATGTTTGTTTTTATTAGTTAGCCTTCTCATACATTTAGCTTTTAGCAAACTTTTGGATAGTTTTAGTTAATGTTTTTCTAGCCTTAGCTATTGCTACCTTCAACTAGCTTTCAGTTTTTCAACTAGCTTTTTGCTACTTTTCACTAAGCATGCTACTTTTAGCTATAGTGTTGTGCTCCTATCTAGCTTTTGCTACTCTTAGCCTATTACTAACATGCTCTTTTCAGTGTTTTGCACCTTTTAGCTGCCCTTTGCTTGTTTAAGCATTTGGCTATCATTTTCTTACTTTTAATTAGCCTTTTGTCTTTTCTGGCTATAATTTTCTGCTAGCTTATAGCTAACCATTGCTACATTTAGCTTTCAGCAATTGTTTTGCATCTTTTAGCTGGCCTTTGCTAGTTAAGCTTATGGCCATTTTACTACTTTTAATTAGCCTTTTGTCTTTTCTGGCTAGTCTTCTGCTACTTTTAGCTTATAGTTAACCATTGCTACATTTAGCTTTCAGCAAGTGTTTTGCATCTTTTAGCTGGCCTTTGCTAGTTAAGCTTATGGCCATTTTCCTACTTTTAATTAGCCTTTTGTCTTTTCTGGCTATAGTTTTCTGCAACTTGTAGCTTATAGCTAACCATTGCTACATTTAGCTTTCAGCAAGTGTTTTGCTCCTTTTAGCTTGCCTATGATATGTTACATATCATAGGCATGTCATATGTGACATTTTGCCACATTTACAGTTAGCGTTTTGTTACTTTTTGTTAGTGTTTTGCTTTTTTTTTTAAAGCTTTTAATGAAATTACAACTTCATCACCTCTCAGCACACTACATTTTTGTGAAAATTAAATTCTGTCATTTTAAATAGACATGACGCTGCTTTAACAAACAATAAAAAGACAATATATTTCTGTTTCCCTGCAGGAAGTAAAAGGGTTATTGCAGCTCTGATGAAATCACAGCTCATGAACATGTTTGCTCAGGCTCTTAAAAATAATTCCTAATCAATTTAATTTTTTTTTTTAGTTCCAAATACAGTTCCTATATAGGAGCTACTTGTGTTTTGAGCCTGTATTTTCAGTTTTCTCAGTCCCTGTGCGCGCCTGCAGATCGATGCTGTGTCTCGGAGGAGGATGTGGACCGTGCCCCCCCCCCCCCCGCCCCCCGTGTGATGTGATCACGTGACCCTTGCAGGGTCGACAGGGGCCGGCCTGATGACAGCATTCTCCGCCGCTCGGAGCCTCCACACCTGACCGCCTCCATCAGACGCGCAGATGATGGAGCCCTGCGCGCCGCCGGCTCATCCTGTTGCCACCATTTCGCTCTTCCGCCGCGCGACGCATCTTCCTCTGACGCCTCGACGCAACAACTCCACTCCAAATACAAATGCGCTTTTAAAAAAAAACTTGACCGTTCGGCGGGCGCGCTATGATCTTATCGTTGAGGTGCGTTTTGTTTTATAATAATAATAATAATAATAATAATAATAAAGGAGCAACAGAGTGAACTGGATGCTGCCTTGGTTGCTGAAGACCAGAAATGGGTGCCATCTCAAGGTTGCCAGAACCGGTTCGTGCGTGGACCAGATTTTCGCTTTTCTTGTGGTAAACCATCAGCTGGATCCGGATCTTAATCACGCCAGAAGTTGCAACACTGAGCAGGTAGGATTTAGTTTTCCTCTGCTGTGTTACTGACCCAGCATCGGAGCTGTTTTTGGTTTCTGTACCCACAGACAGACCCTCCATAATAAACAGAGGCTATTTCTGATCCATCCATCATGCGTAGTGCGTCATCTCGGTTGCCTCAGTGTCTCTGCTCCTGCGTCCTTCAGCCACTCATCCAAACGGAGCCAGATCTGTAGAGGACCCTGGACTCCATTTTACTGTGCAAATATTTCAGGAACACCATGCCTCACTGTGCATATTTAACTCAGAGTGCTCCATGGGACTTATGTAAGACATCTCAGCAGGCAGGCAGTTTAAATCCAACACATTTAAAACAGCAGTAACTGCACTTACACAACACACACTCACAAGCAAAGACCACACACACACACACACACACACACACACATACACACACACACACACACACACACGCAGCCCAAGGCGTTTTGTGAATAGCTTAATTAAAGTGTCTCTAATGTGCAGCTGTGCTCCAAGATTAGGTTGTCTTCCAAGGAAAAGACGTTTATTCTGCCATGTTTGATTTATAAAAGGACATTTTCTCACTGAGTGCTGAATGACTGCTGCATGCTAAAGAGGAAAAACTAATATGATGAAGGTAAAGCTATAAAACATAGAACTAAAATTAGCAACAACAACAAAAAAAGCTAAAAGTTCAAATGAGTGAAACAAACACTAAAAGCTAACACTAGTAAAACTATAAATTAAAGCCGTAAAAAGGAGTCACAAATTTCAACCAGTAAAACGCTAAAAGTACTCAAACATCAGCTAAGCAAAATATTTGCTGAACTGTAGAATTAAAGATACACATATAAACATTAAATAAAGCTAAACGCAGAACAACAAACAAAACTGTATCTAAAGACTAAAACTAACAAAAGAGTAGCTCAAAGCTAAAATCACCATAACAGTAGCTAAAAACAAAAGCAAATAAAACAATAGCTAAATCCTAATATTAAAAAAGCAATCGCTAAATGCTAAAACTAATGGAAGAAAAAGCTTAAACAAATAATCATCTATACAGCTAACACTAGTAGAACAGTAGCTAAAAGCTAAATTTAGCAGAACATGAACTAAAAGCTAAACTTAGGTGAACAGTAGCTAAAAGCTAAATTTAGTTCAACATAGCTAAAAGCTAAAACAAAATAAACATTAAATACAATTAACATCAGTAGAAGAAAACCTCAATTTTGCAGAACATTAGCTAAACTAAGCTAAAAACTAAACTTAGTTGAACGGTAGCTCAAAGCTAAAACA